CTCCATGGGCGCATCTTCCGGCGTCCGCACGGCACGGTTCATCGCCTTCCTTAGCGAGGTGTCTCGGGGGCGAACCATCTCGGGGTCTGCAGGACCTAGGAACAAGGACGCTACTAGGGGCTCCTGGCATCGCTACCAACAAGAAGCTACTAGGGGCTCCTGGCATCGCTACTAGGAGCAAGGACGCTACTAGTAACAAGTGCATCGCTTCTAGTAACAGCCTTACTAGTAGTAACAAGGACGCTCCTAGTAACAAGAAGCTACTAGTAACAAGAACCATCTCGGGGTCTCCAGGACTGAATTTGGTCCGGGCTCCCCATCGAGCGGACTACGTGCGGGAGGGAAAAAGGACGGCGCGGCGAAAATCACGTGGGCCCCAAAACGTCAATCATGTTGGGTTCACCGCGGCGTGGCCTCCAACTCAGTGGGATTTTACTTGTTTTTTGGTTTTAAAGCTCGAGGCCCCACCTCCCTACTTAGTCATGTAGGTATGCTTTCGAAGTGGCTGAGTCCCACTAACAGTGAGCACAATCGATGAGCACAAAAGCAGCACCAGGAAAATTGAAAAAAAAAAGTCTGGGTCCAATCAAATCTCCCATGCACTGCAAAGACTCTCCTGCTTTCATTTTGAAATGTGGGGCTGGTCCCGGCTGGCCTGGGCTAGTGGCTCTGCTTTCATTTTGAAATGTGGGGTTGGTCCCTGGCTGGTTTGGGCTGGTGGCCCTGCTTTCATTTGGAAATGTGGGGCTGGTCCCTGGCTGGCCTGGGCTGCTGGCCTGGGCTGGTGGCTCTGCTTTCATTTTGAAATGTGGGGCTGGTCCCTGGGCTGGTGGCTCTGATTCTCGATTTCGTCAAATCTGGTGCTAGAATTCGTCAAATCCGGTGCTCGATTTCGCCAAATCTGGTGCTCGATTTCGTCAAATCTGGTGCTAGAATTCTTCAAATCTGGTGCTCGATTTCGCAAAACCTGCTGATTTTCTGGAAATTCTGCCCAGGGCGGAGACACAATCCAACTCAAACTCAAAAATCACTTACTGGCTGGTGCTCGAATTCGTCAAATCTGGTGCTCGAATTCGTCGAATCTGGTGCTCAAATTCGTCGAATCTGGTGCTCAAATTCGTCAAATCTGGTGCTCGAATTCGTCAAATCTGGTGCTCGAATTCGTCAAGTCTGGTGCTCGATTTCGTCAAATCTGGTGCTCGATTTCGCCAAATCTGGTGCTCGATTTCGTCAAATCTGGTGCTCAATTTCGTCAA